TTGGCGACTACTTTTGTGACCAAATAAGTTAGTCGCTAAAACCATTCGGCGACTAAAAATTTAGTCGCCAAAAGTGAAAATTCTTGTAGTGCTTTTTGGGTTTTAGTCCTAACCAAAAGATTGTTTTGATCAAAGATAAATGAAGAAACGAACTGTTGAAGAACCAAATCAATACAAGTTAGCACCTATACCCTGCAAATTTACATGCACATCTGTACAAGTTTATTGCACCATATAGCTAGTATATCTAAATGAGAAATATGAAGAACCGAACAGTTGAAGAAACAAAATCCGGAACAAATCTATACACGTCAGCACATATACCGCACAAATTTATCTGCGCATTTGTACAAATTTATTGCACCATATAACTAGTATATCTAAATGAGAAATAAAATAGCAACGAAACAATGGCATACAACTAACCCATAGAAACAAAGGAAGTGAATGTGAAACAAGCAAATACTAAGAAAGTTATCACAGAGATTTCAATATATAGCAACGAAATGCCTCAAACAAAATACAAGCAAAAAATTCAGAGCCTAAACAAATCACAAATTACAACCCAAGTAACAAATATTGAGGTTGTTCCAATGTAAAATAATGAACAATTCCCTAAACATTGAAAGACCTGTTTGGTTGTGTTTTGTTTTTTTGGCTGCAGAAAAAACAAAGGCATACAACTAATCTGTTATTTTCTAAATATTGTTTTCAATTGAGCAAAATTGAACTTGGTCTGACTTGTACATTTACATTCTTTTTTTTTTTCTTTTTTTCTAGAGTGATAAGTAGAATTTTCCCAAACATGTTATAGACATCATGCCAATGTTCCGTTTTTGTGTTCATTCTGGATTTCATAACCAAGGGCGAGTGCCTTTCAAGACCACCATATACAATGCAAATTAAGATGGACTACATCTATTGAAGGACCAGGACCTTGCAGAGATTTTACATATGTGGTTTCAGTTGTTCTTATAATATAGTTCATCATTGTATGCATTCAAATGTATTAGCAACAATAAGCAAAGAGGGCCCAATGTCATGGTTGGGACAAGAATTGTCTTGAGTAAGAAAATATATCAAGTGTTTTAGCATTTGATTGCATTGCAACATATTATTCTTTATTTTGGATAGTCTTTCCTGACAGGATTCATCAAAAGAAATAAGCCAAAACCCATAAAGACACCTAAAAACAAGAAAAAAGAAGCAAAAACGACTTTACTCTTAGCGACCATGGAGTCCATGAATACACACGTAGCAAAAATTCAGTATTTTGATTCATGCGAATCAAAGAGAACATCACATCCCATTCATAAAAAAGTATAAAATGTAGACACATTTGTATCACACAAAACACAAAACATAAACACCAAACATGTAATGGGAGTACATAAATCGTAGCAATGTTGACATCTCTTCCCCCAACAATACCTAGTCCACTCTTCTTCCCCCAACGTCGCCTCAATAATGGTCATCGTTTGCTGGGAGTAGGAAGAAATCAAACATGATCGTAAAAAGCGAACACTGCAAAACCCAAATTGCAGGCATAGATGATACTATGAAATATATGGGTCTGAAGATCTGAACTCCACCCAACAAAACCCTCTAGACAATTTTGATTATATTTTACACCCCAACCAGTGCAACTCCATTGACAATGAAATTAAATAGTATTAGTGGGATTTGCATTCAACTCTTCTGCAGTATTAAATCTTTTTTTGTGCTTCTAAAAGAAGCATTTGTTCAACGTTTTACAGACCAGGGTTCAAAAAATAGAAAAAGCTTAACATTGTTATGGCATATATATGCCTCAAAAGTTATTTGTTTATAACCTTTGCTAGAAATTTATGTTTCCATCCAATGCCTTTCGTTTTTGCACATTTCTTTTTCTTTCTAGTAACTCAAATTCAAGTTTCAAATTTCACAATTTTGGTAAATTTATGATGCGCTTAATTAGTGTCGTGATTAGCAAGAAATTGCTATAGTTGTTACCTACTAGCATTAGGGGATACTCTTCAATTGTTGAAAAATATAGATTTTCTTTGAGAAGTTTCTTTCTCTTTTACTATAATTTTAATATTCTTGGAAATTAACTGAATCATAAAAGAGTATTAGAATTATTAGAATCATAAGAGAGTATTAGAACTATATACATTTTCGCTACATCATGGAACAAGAATATATGTTTTATGGATATGCAACTTCCAAAACTCCGAAATATAAAAGCGTATATAGTATCATAATACCTCTTCATTCTTTCATCCAGAGCTTCACATTGTTGCATCACATTGCTGCAATCAAGAGAGACGAGGCTTTCCACATAGTTGCCTACAACTGTAAACATTGTCGGAATGCCATTTACCACCATGTCCCTCTTTGCTTGTTCTTTCGGATTGTATACAAGCAATTTCTACGAGTCCATTGCCAACAAGAATTCACCATTTTCTAACAAACACACCAATTCCATTACAGACCTCTCAGGATTAAAGATAGTAAATTTAGTCCAAGACTCCTTCAACCCGTACTCCTCCATCATCCAACCGATACACTTTTTAGAATTGATCAAATAGAGACACCCTCCAAGAATTGCCACACCCTTCGCCCGATGTTCATAATTATAAATTGAATCAGGTAGTGGCACTTCCCAGAAACTCTCATTCGCCAAATCAAATGCAATGATAGCATACAAATAATCTGGAAACCAACCAATCCTACTGGCACGCCTCTTTCGAGCTAACCAATGCAGACACCCATTTACGTAAACCCCAGAACAATCCCCAGCTAAATGCATAAAAGAGGAACTTTGGAAAAGTCTATAGTACATTTTGTTAAAAAATGTATGGTACATAGAAAATCAATGGCTAAGATTGAGCCATATCATTAAAAGTGACCTGCTAAACAGGTCACTTTTTTATAGTTTTGAGCCAAAATCATATTCCTTCATAGCTATAATCAAATTGATCATAAGTTAGTCATAACCACATTTCATAACCAACACCATTTTGTTCATAACTAATATCACATATTTCGTAACCACATCTCATAACCAACACCATTTTGTTCATAACTAATATCACATATTTCATAACCATAATCACACATCTCATAACCACATCTCATAACCAATCCCTTTGAGTCATAACTAACATCACATATCTCATAGTCACTAGTCACATATCTTATAACCAACAGCGTTTTTTTCATAACCACTAGTCACATATCTCATAACTAACACCCTTTTGCTCATAACCATACCACTTTGGTCATAACCAATATCACATATCTGATAACTATTACTCACATGAATCATAATCACATCTCATTACTCACATGAATCATAATCACATCTCATAACCAACCCCTTTGAGTCATAACCAACATCACGTATCTCATAACCACTAGTCACATATCTCATAACTAACAATTCTTTTGCTCATAACCACTAACATATATAGCATAACTAAACACCATTTGACACCACTTTGCTCATAATTAAAATCACATATCTTATAATCACCAATCAAATATCTCATAACCATTACCTACATATCTCATAATCAACATCACATCTATCATAACTACTAATCACATATCTCATAACCACACTATTTTGATCATAACCAACGTTACATATCTCATAATCACTAATCGCATATCTCAACCAAACACCCTTTCACTTATAACTACATCACTCTGCTCATAACCAAAATCACATATCTAATAATCACTAATCATATATCTCATAATCTTTACCCACTTATGTCATAACCATATCTCATAACCAACACCATTTGCCTCATAACCAACATCACAAATATCATAACCACTAATCACATATCTCATAACCACTACCTACATATAGGAGTGCAAATTTGGCCCACGACCTTGTAACACACCCCAAGTCCAGTCGCGCCGTGGGTGGGCCTAACTAGGCCTGAGCCTAAGCCCAACCTAAGACCCTGGGCTATGTATTCTAGAGCCTGGCCCGATTCTAGTGTGTTATAGAGTGTGACCCATCTCATGAGCTCAACTCAAAATGTTTTTCACCATCTGTCCCGACTCAACCCCAACAGCTCCTTGCCCCCTGTTAGTGCAACGGTCAAAAATTTAAAAAAAAAAAAATTTAAACAGTCATATAACTGTTAATTCCACCAACAGCTAATTTTATTTTATTTTTTTATTTTTATATATATAAATTAACCCCTCCCTCCCAAGTCCTATAAATATCACCCCTCTCTCATTTTATTTCTCACAAACAAATTTGTCTCTCAATCTCTCATTATCTCTGAACTCTCAATTAATTTTGAAGTGTCATCCCTAAATGATAATTGCAATTGATCACCTATCTCTATTTTAGATTTATTTTTAGTCATAGTATCTTCATTAAATATAATAGAAATAGTAATATACAAACGATATACTTTTTAAAATATCTATATACACTTATAGACGTATATATATAATTTAACTAAATTTTAATAAAAAAATATGTTGAAAAAAATTATCTATGACGTGTTTTTATTTTGTTCTACTAAATAATTTTTCTTCCCCAATTTTTCTTCGTTTTTCTCTACTCTATTTTCTTTTCCTTTATTCTCTACTCTATTTTATTTTCCTTTATTGTCCTAGTTGTGCCTGAGCTCTCTCTATTTCTTACTCAGACTTCTCTATTTCACTCATATTATCAAACGACCATTGTTGATAGCTCTTCCTCACTGGATTCTTCCTCTCTCTACTCCCGTGTCTCTACAATAGATCCTTGAACTCGTCACTACTCTCTGTCTATTTCAACGCTATTCATTCTGGTGATATTTCTTTATCTAGCAAATGCATCTATCTTGAAACTCTACCTCTTTCACAACTTCAACATATATATATATATATATATATATATTTAAATTTAAATAATTCATCACTCGACTCAATTCATTTAACTCAGTTATGCTCTCAGGTGTGAGGCCCACGTACATGCTTCTGAATGTCTTTATAAACCTGATATATAGACCAAAAAAGAGACAAATAAAGATAGCCAGAGTAGAAATGTTAGTTACATTACATCTGCAACAATAGATGAAATGCCATTACAATGCTTTCCTCTGGCCACAGAGACCAACTAAAATGAGGAATAACTTTTCAAACTCTTTTAACTCTTTTAACTCTTTGCTTGATAGATCAATTGAACAACTTCACAGATTTATAAAAAAAATACCAAAACAACTATAGAAGCAAACAACATGATCGCATAGTCTTCGTTTGTTCGACTGACCAACCGACTTGAATCGATTGGACTTTGTTCTGGGTGTGTGAGTGTAAGTATCAATAAAAATATGAGAGAATAATGGGGATGGACTTATGGGCATTCACATAATTAAGTATTTGACACTGCAGCGGCCCCTATAAGACCAATAAGGCACAGCAAGGAAAGAATATCTGCCATCCCAATAGACGTGTCCGAAGAGAAGTAAATTTTGTGAGCATTGCCGTCACCTCGAAAACCTCTAACGATCATTGCCTGCAAAAGAAAAGCTGAATAATTACTCTTCAATCAGTTTTGACAAATTTTACATAAACAATGAACACCAGGACACATATGGGTAAGTCGTGAAATTAATCACCAGAGATATTCAAAACTAACAAGAATCCACCAGGGTTACAGTATAGGTTGAGTTCACTATTACTGGTCAACAATTCATGATTCATTCATGTACATCACTTCTTCTCCCTTTCTTTTTATTTTTCTTCTTCTTCTTCTTCTTATTATTTTTTTTGTTGGAAGAGTTCAAAATATCCATTTAAAATAAGCCCTAGGGCTAATGGGTTTTCACCTCTAAGAGGGAAAAAAGAAGTTGCAAATTTCTTGTCCACTATTAAACAGAGAAACTGTAGAAGTTGAGGACACATTGGCTAAGAAGAGAAAAGAAAAGACAAATTCAGGAAAATATGTCAAACCTGAGATATCTGCTCCGCATGGTTAAAAATATTTTTGAAGATCTGACGAATGTATGTAAAGAAAACTGCAAAAGCCACAACAACAGTCTCAAAATAGAAAAGATCTCCAAGATTAAGCAAATGATATAAGTAGCATTGTATTAAACACCCATATTCAACAAGTCAACAAGATACAGGCCATCCTAACTGAAAGTGTACTACGAAAATAAAAAAATTTAGATGGTATAAAGGGTCACCACATTCAGTGGTTTGAACACATTCAATTCAATACAGCATAAATCTCTGAAATTCAAAACAAGTCTGACCATAAAACTTCCCTTAATTTCAAGAAAAAATATACTTGATGTACTTTAATGTAGCGTCGCACATTTCTTCGAGAAAGGTCCACAATATATAACAAGGACTCATTTACTAGAATTTTTAATCATAATCAGATTTAAGGATGTGAGAATTCCATGCAAAACATATGATGCGGAAAGGTAGGATACAACAACAAATGTGAACCGTACAATTCAATAAATGTTTTGTCTCATTTGAAGCCTATCAATTGTCTTAGACAGCACAAGAAAATATATAATACGCTCAAGTTGTGTACTTACTATCAATAGTCTCCATAATAGTCAACAGTTTCCAATCTACCCTACGAGATACAATCCCCAATGCAAGATTTCGAACCTGACAACACATCAAGTAGACATTCCAAGAATGTAAGAATTCATAACAATGTTTTTTAATAGAATATCCTAAATAATATGTAATGTGAAAGAAAACCTCAGTGAAAATTTAATACTTCAATGAAAGAAAAAACAATTTGAACCTATCTCACCTCATCAAAGACCAGATTGATGAACCTCAATGAAAGTAGGAGAGTAAGAATAACTTCGGCCACTGGAACACCGAAATTTATCAAGGGAAGCATAAACCATTGCAAAGCCCATGCAAGCTGCTCAGGGGTTGTGGTGGTTAGGCAGAGGTTCACACTCTGGAAGATCTGTCACAAAAACATAGACCTAACTTTCAGAAATTAATAATGTAACTCAAGCAAATTGGCGAAATTGGCATATTACAAAAAAGAAAAGAAAAAAAAAAGAAAAAGAGAGAGAGTATCTTCAATTTCAACAAAATCAAAGTTCCTGCAAAGTGTTTGAATAACCCAAAAGAATCTTTCAATGTTTTTTTTACAACTAAAGAGAAAGAAAATTATACACATTTCAAAATATACAGGTATATCTGTTTTATTTTGAATAGAACTCAATGAGTTTACTGCACACCATGTAGACAGGGTTCTAAGTGGATGAATCATTCCAAGAATTCAAGTGATAAATAAACAATATTCAATTCTACATTCTTTGAATGTTTTTCATGGACATTTAAGCTCTTTGTAAAGACCCCCTTATTTCTTGCACTATCGCTTCAAGGAATTGCAAACCAATCTCAAAAGTACCTCACCAAACTAAAATCTAAAATAATTAGATCATTGTTAATTCTCCCTCAACAACTTTGAAAATTCATGAGAGTTAAATACCACTAAAATTTTATTACAATTTCAAATAACAATAACAATTTTTTAAATGCCAATATTTTGGATAAGTTATCCTAGGGGTCCAGACCACCACATCAGCAGTCCGCCTGATGTGGTGCATAAAAGTTCGCAGAAGTGGGGCACTATGTATTTGTATCAGGTGACATGGTGATAGTGCCCTACTTTGATAACTTTTATGCAACTTTATTTTCGCACGCGCCTGACTTGGTGTTCCGGACCTCATATAATTTTTCCAATACTTAGTATTTGGAATTTAAAAAGATTAAAATTTGCATAGCATGCAACTATACATAGTAAATTTGATGTTTTTGCTACAATCTTTTTCATCTGTATTTTTTTAAATAATGGCTCTCTTCTAGCAGGAAAAAACTAGTTCCTTCGGATGCTCACATGCTACATGTACATGATAAGATCATTTCATTTCCATAAGCGTCCAAATATGTCATTATTAAGTTAGAAAGAGAAAGTCCGGAAGGTAACTCAAGAAAGAACAACTCACAGAGAAGGCTAAACAAGCAGATGTACTTGCTACTGACAAGCCCTTTCTTGTAAGTTGTAATGGTCCTAACTTCATTATCACATACGAATAGCCTTCGAAAGATGTTGGAACATTCGGCAATCCAATCAATGAAGGTGGTGGGCTTCTTAACTGGCCAAGAGGAGTTACGCCATCTGTACCCAAACCCAACATTATAAATAAAATCCCACATAGCAGCGACACTCTTCCCAATTGATCCTACAAGATTATGGGAGATTTAACAAGGGACCCTGCATTAGCACATTGATAATCTTCAAATGAAAAAAAAAAAAAACTATAACACACTAATCAAGATAACAGAAAATAAAATAAAATATACTAACGTTTTGTTTGTTTGGGTGGAAAACATTTTCTACAAAAACTTTTTTCAGGAGACAACATTTTCTACAAAAACTTTTTTCAGGAGACAACATTTTCCTATTTTTGGTTGCAACCTTGAAACTAATGTGCTAGTAGTTGTATTAACGGTGGTAAGTCGTTAGGTCCGGAAAACTTTTTCACATTTGCAGGTGGAAAAAATTTTCAGCCCAAACAACCACCACAAAAACATTTTTCGTTGATTTTCATTTTCGATCGTATTGAATGCTAGCTAAAGTTTTTTACCGAAACAAACGGAGCGTAAGGCTCTACTGGAATTGTTTCCCAACAAGTTAAAGAACTAATACGAGACAATATTCCCTCAATAACAACTTCATGTTTAAAAAAGATATATATGAAAATAAATACTCCCTCTGTCCCAATTTGTTAGTCCCTTTTGAGATTCCAACTTTTTAAGGGGGTGCAGTCATTACACTTAAATTTAAATTTTAAAATATTTTTCCACTAATGCCACTATCTTTTCAAAATTTTAATATATTTATAATTACTCAAAAAGGGTAGTTTTGGAAAATCAAATGTTTTTATTTTGACTTTTCAAATGGGACTATCATTTTGGGACATCCCAAAATGGAATAGTGGACCAACAAAATGGGGCAGAGGGAGTATCATATCAATCTACTAGAAAATGGATTGGGTCCGGAGGCCTAAAAGTTCTGAGGGATTTGGTAAAAGTCCCCTCGTAATAAAACTTTAATGAATTAAGGACAAGCAAAAAAAAATTCCTTTAAAAGTCTAACATATACTACTATTACCAAAATATTAAATTTTAAAATAATATAACCTCTGATCTAGATGTCGATTTTTAATAAATTAGTATTTTTAGAATTCTTTCATCAAGATCTATCAAATAAGATCCATGTTAATTATGAAATTCTTTATAAAAAAAAAATTATTATGATCGAAATTGATGTAAAAAGTAATATGTTATTCTGTCTCACAATAACATATTACTCTGATAATATTGTTCAAGAAAAAAAATATATATTTTATTTTATCCTTACTCAATTATGCGCCTCCTCCTTAGGGGATTTATGAAACAAAATAAATTAGGCTGTCATTCTCACCAAACAAGGATCCAATGGAGGGGTTTTGACTAAAATTTTCAAAAGTTTATCCTTTCATAGGTGACTAGCTCAGTAAACCAAAATGCTGAACTTACCCTCCACACAGGTGTAGGGAGAACCCAAACAGATACTAGAGCCAAGTAGGTGATTAATCCAACACGTATCATCATATTTGACCTTGCCGGTAAAATAACTAGAGCAAGGAGCCATGCCTGCATAATCAACACAGTCAACTATGTCGAAATTAAAAGACAGTGAAATAAAAATTAAATAAGAAAAGAGAAACTAGCAATTAAAGAATAAAAGAACCAACTCAATTGCTTTCTCATAAATTTCTTGTCAGTAAAAGACTGCCAAACAACACTTTAAGACTAATTGGTCAATCAAATCTCCAAAAAAATTAAATACCTCGTCCCATTTAACAGCTAATACAGGCAACATGATATTCGGAATCTTCAGTGGACTTGAAAAAATTTGTTCTTGCCACAGAAAATTTCACCATTTTCTAACAGCCTACTTCTTGTTCAGTGATTATGAACCATCATCATATATTATAAATTATTTGGCCTTTTTTTTCTTCACTTGTACTGATGTGACCTGAATTCTTTTCTCTCTTTTTTTATTATTTATTTATTCATATTGCATCATCAAAATCCACTATAAAACAATCAAAACCCACAATAATTCAAATCACCCATTTGATTCTAGGGTACAGATGATACAACAAAGTAGAGCTGAGACTTAAGGCAACAGTGCTTGGTTGAGTTGGAAAGCAAAAACAATCTAAACAATACTAAATTAAATATATATTTTGCTCTAATTCCAAACAACCCAACAGAGGAAAATCGAAAACATTCGAAAACCCAACCATAAGAACATAAATTACCAATTTAATCCTAGGGTTTTAATAAATCCCAAAAACCCATCAACTAAACCACAAATTGCAAACAACCCAACAGAGAAAAACAACAAACATTCAAAACCCACAAGTTAAATTCAACCAATCAGTACAATTTCACTCGATTAAATCAAAACCCACAAGAACATAAATTACCCATTTAATTCTGGGATCAACAGAATGCAAGCACGTAGTCGGAGATGATATGTACTGAAAAATGGGACTGGAGGTTGCACCAGAGATCAATCTCAGAACCTTATCAGCTGAAACAATATTTTTGGGTATCCATTTATCCCAATTTCCAGTACTAGCGCCAGTGTCTTCTGTACATTTGATTTGGGGCCTTAACAGAGTTTGATTGAGAGAGAGTTGTGGTCCATGGTGAGAGAAGTTTGGGGTGAATTGGAGTCTGAAGAATGGAGGGGATTGGGTTTTGAAGGTGTGGTGGGATGAGAGAGAAGGGAATACGACCGTTGGGTAGGAGTGGAGAACAACTCTGCAATACATTGGTCAAGGTTGAGATTGATTGGAAAGGAGAAGTGGAGAAGATACTACAGTGCTAGTGGCTTCATTGTTGGATCCGTTTTGGATTTGACCCGACCCACAGATTCAATGAAACTGGGATCATAAACGGTTCGGCCCGGACTGCGTAGCCCGCCGCTAATTTGTCTAAGAGCCTGTTTGGTAGAGGTGTGGGAAAATGCTTATAATTCATGTCTTAACAATATATATAGTTTATAACTATGAATATAAGCTGATTTTTGACTTATAAATTAACTATCTCCTGCCCTACTCAAAAAATAAGCTGATTTATGACTTATAAAAAGCTATAAGTTACATTGTTAAGCTAAACCAAACATATTAAAATAAATTAAATTAAACTGAAAGTTAAAATAAACAGCTTTTAAACTGCACCAAACAGACACTAAGGTTCGTATGTGAATTACGCTTCACGTTTTGACTAGTCTATGGGCTAAGTTAGATGAAACTTATTTAGAATTAAAATTACATCCCACTCATAACTCTTAATTGTACGGGCGAAAATCAGGTTGGAATGGACTGGACTGAACCTATCAGTTTGGAGTGGACTGGACTGAGCCTATTGGTTTATATTATTACTTTTTTTTTTTTTTTTTTTCATTCTCAATATCTTCATTTTTGCTTTTTGTTTCACTTCCCAATATATCTCTAGTATTTCCATTCATTTTCTCTCCTTTTTTTTTCCTTTTTAATTTTATTTTACATTTTTCATATAATCAAACAACGATTTCGTAACATAATCAATATAGTCATTGGAATGGAATTTAGTGATTTGACATGTGAATTAGGAACAATTTGGAAACTTAGTAAAAAGTTAATCTTTTGACTTTTTATTAAGTTCTCCCAAAAAAATTATTAAAAAAGTTAATTTTTTTATCAAAAAAAATTAAAAAATTAATTTTTTACCAATTTTTCAAAACACCACTTAATAACTTTTTACCGTTGACCCTTGTGAGTTAAAGAGCTATTTGGGCTCTCTTTAATTTCATGAGAATGGACTCAAATGAGTATGGGCTCAAAATTGAGTAATAAAATGATGAGTTTGTGCACAAAAATTGCTTTGAGTAGACAGTTTTGATTACGGGCTGATTAGCTTGCTTGTGCTAGTTTTTACGTGCTAAGTTTATGGACGGATTCGGACTATAAATCCTTATCAAAATCTTAAATTATTTTTTATATATGGGACTAGACATTAAAATGGAATAAGACGGCCATGGGACGAGTGGGGCAAATTGGGTAATGTCGAGTAGTTTTATCTTGTTGCTTGGATTTAATGCCTCCCTTACTTCATTAGTAGTTGGAGTAAATTTCACTAATTTTAAATGTAAATAAAAAGTTTAAAAAGACAAAACAAAACAAAACAAAGAAAGAAAAGAAGAAGATGATAGGAGCGTTATGATTGTAATTAGTTATTTACAATCTTTTACACAATTATTTAGTGTACACAACCAACGGGACTAGTCCAATTAGCTAACATAACTCTTGCACCTCATTAGGTAGTTAGTGATTCAAAACTCTTCACAGTTATATTGATTATATGTTGTATTTGATTTTCATCATTATAATTGAGAGGGTAATTTATGTGTAGTCTGGGTCGAGCTAAGTCCTTTTATCTTGGACAATTGGGCCGAACTACTGACCGAGATAAACTTTTGGTTTGGGTGGTCCTGGATCATCTTGGCGTCAGGACAATCTGAGACAGGCTACCAGGGTCTTGACCTGGCTATCCCAAGCTAAACCCTACAGCGAACTGAGGTATTAGTGAAGGAGGACCGAGCTGAAGGGAGCTCTGCAGGGTATTATCACAAAGTCAAGACTGACAGTGTTGCCTAAAGTAGCACCGAGCTGTGTGAGCACGGTTAAGTCTGGTGCCAGCCGAGGTAAGAGTTGCAACCATCTCACTTAGTTAGTAGTGAGTAGGGTGTTATCAAGATAAGCATTATCCTTGGGAGTGTGATTCCTAGAAGGACTCTTGTAAAGAGAGTTGGAGTCCTGCTAGAATTGTGCCAGGTAAAATCTATAAAAGCTCATGACAGGACCTATATATAGGTAACACAATTCTTACTATCAAATACACAGAGCTTTTGTGTCTATTTTACTGACTTAGACATCGGAGAGATTTCCGGCACACACCCGCCAGCTAACTCACGTTTATATTTTCAGGTAGTAAAACGACAACATTTTGAGGAATGCAAACTTGATCAACAAGATTATACAAAAAGATTATTTCGTGCTCGTACAATTGGCGTCTTCTGTAGGAATATCACACAAAGAACAAACCTTTTGATTGAGTTTCCTCTTTAATTGAAATCTATGGTACACAATGAAGATTTACCACATTCTACTATTGATGGGCAAACCCCAGAAGGGGGCGGGAGGCATGAAGGTTTACCTTTTATCCCACTTATGGCAGAATTAGATCCCCAACTATGGAACCCATGGAGAAACACACGAGAAAGACGAGGCTCAAGTCCTCGTCGCTCTCAGAGCCCTTATAGGCAGAAGCGGAGGATGGATCCTCAGGTTCTGGAGGATCGCGTAAGGGAGCAAGACAAATTGATACGGAAGATAACGACAGACATGGAGACGATGAAGCGCCAATTAAAAGGCAAATTGATGATAACAGAAGATAGGCGCAAAGACAACACGCACTCTTACCACTCAGAAGATCGTGGCAGGCAAGTATCACCATCACACGCTGAAAGTAGAAACCTCGGGACAAGTGACACACAATCAAAGATTTCCAAGACTCGTTACTCTAAGTCTGAGAGAACGAGGACTGAAAGGTCTTATATGAAGGAAGCAGTTATCGGCCGCACCAAACAACATCTAGGCACACGGAGTTACCTAGGTCGGCAGACCTGTGTATAGTGCTACAGGAAAGGGCTCGAATGAGAGAAAACACTCAGGCTCGCGACCCCCGTAAAGTCTCAGCGCTGCAACAGTTGGCTCCTAGAACACATGGGAGTGTCAAATTTGGAATGCCAGAACCACGCCTTACCTACAAACCAACAGACAAAGCGTTAGCGAGGTTGCAGAGCTCACCGTTCATTCCGACGATAGAGAATGCACCATTATCGTCAGGCTTCCACTAGCCCAAATTCACTACTTATGAGGGGAAGTCAGACCCCTATATGCACTTGGGCCACTTTCACTAGGTTATAGTCGTGTATCGGCAAAACAAGGCTCTAATGTGTATCATGTTTCCTTCCAGCCTTGGTGACCTGGGTTTAACATGGTTTGAAAGATTTCCCAAAGGTAGCATAGCTTCATGGGCGCAACTAGCGAAGACATTTGTGACCAGATTCAGAATGAACACCAAGACGCCAATGGAGATTGACCAGCTTATTTCCATTGACATGGGCAAGAAAGAAACATTAAGGTCTTACAATAACCGGTATTATGAGACTTTTAAACAGATTGAAGATTGCCCAACAAACTTAGCTATCACACAGTACAAACGAGGTTTGCTGGCTGGCAATAAATTGAGGGATTCAATGACGATGACGCCACCCCTCACAATAGAAGCCCTGATGGAAAGAGTACATTAGTACATCTGGGTAGAAGAAGATGTCGCTCGCACCAAAGCAAAAGTTGGCACAACAGCGATGTCAGACAAAAACCTGCGACAAAAGTCAACACGATCAGCTGAGAAGAACAACCGAGCAAAAATGGGTGAGGCAGACGAGCCAACAAAGAGGACCCCCAAGCAAGTTAAGAGTCTGAACTGCCATCACCATGGTATTCAATAAACCTATCTACCGGATTCTTAGCAAGATACACGATGAACCCTTAGTTCGGCAGCCAGCCAAGTTGGGAGAAGCACAGAGGGGCTATGATGATAGGTACCGTTGCACCTTCCATGATGAAAAGGGGGATCAAATTGAAAACTGTACACCATTAAGGCAACATCTTAAGAAGTTAGTGGCTGCAAGCCACCTGGACCAATATATTGCAGGGGGAACGCAGCCAGCCCTCCAGGATCGTAATAGGCTGGATGGGATGCCGGTCGACGGTCCGTCCCAAGGCATAATTAATGTGATACATGGGATCATCAAACCTGAACGAGTATGTGAACTCAGAGGGATGATAAAAAAACTGAGCACATGAGAGAGGTACTAAGTGCACAATCTACCGTGAAAAAGGAAAAAACGGAGGCAATGAACGTCATCACCTTTTCTGACAAAGACTTAGCAAGGTTACAAAGCCCTCACAATGATGCACTGGTGGTTACTCTACGGGTCAAGAATTTTGACGCCAAGCGGATCCTAATTAACCAAGGGAGCTCATGCGAAATAATGTACTACGAGACCTTCAAATAACTAAAATTGAAGGACAAAGACTTAAGTACCCGCAACATCTCCCCTAGTCAGCTTCAATTCAATGCCAGAATGGCCAGTTAGCAAGATAATTCTGCCAGTCAAGGTAGGAACTATGACACCCCGAACGTTTAATTATGTATCACATAAATATTTAGAATTATATATATAATTATGGTTGCATGTGATGATAGGGTATTAAATAAATAAATATATAAATCTAATTTGGCATTAGGTTATCAAATATAGATTAATTAGAAATTATTTGGGGGCAAATTAACACATTCACGGAATTACAATACTAGTTGGGTCAAATTAAAGTTAAAAATAATAAATAAATAATAATATGAAATAATAAAAGTAATCTGTAAAGTAAAGTAAAATAAAATAAAAGAATTAATTTTACGATGCTAAATGATAAGATATAATTTAATTTATATTAGGAACATTGAAACACTTAACACCAAAACAAATAAATAAATGAATAAAAGGAAAAGAAAATAAAAATAAGAAAATTTTAGCTCAGCAATGCTTTGTAGATTTTGGCCCAAGAAGAGAAAAAAAAAAAGGGGGTCCAAGTATATATATTCATTAAGAAGATAATACTTATCTATAAAGATTTAAATCTCATACTGAATCTTCAATTAAGAGCTCAAATCTTCTAGCATCATGATGCCTCCATAGAGAGAGGCTACGTGTCATTCATTTCTGTGCTCGATTAGCAGTATATAAAGGGACTAGGGTGTT